TGAATTTTAAGGTTTGTATTACAAAATGAGCATGCCGCAACTAATTTGTTTTTAATTTTTTTCTTTGTAAAATATTTTCATACGAATGATCTACAGTATAAATATTTAAATATATTAATATATAAGATATTATTATTAATAATCTTTTAGAATAATACAGTATATTACCTGGTTGTACATGTAGAAGACTCACTACTAGTAGTAGCTTTTGCTGATGATAATAATTCACTATCTTCATCAAAGTAAGATATATTCATTGGTTCCAAAGTTTCATCATAAAATAAACTTGGTGGGCTTGACATTATACAGAATTATAATCAGTGTTTTTGTAAAAGTCTTCGCTAATTATTTTCTCAAATCAAGTAATATTTAAAGGTTTTTTTTTAGAGAAAAAAAAATTTTTTAGAAAAGAAAAAAAAAACAGTTGTCTTAAAAAAAAAAACTTCTTAAAGAAAAAAAAAAAAAAAAATCAAGGGCTTTCTTAGAAAAAAGTTAAGTGTGGTTATATGCAAAAAAACTACTAATTCTTTTTGCCACTGCTATTGTTTTTTTGCACCGTTAACTTCCTAATTCCTTCTCACCTCTCCTAATTCCTTTTTACTCCTATCGTCTTCCCACCCCTACTAACGTCTTCTCACCTTCAGAACTAATATATGGATACTTTTTTCTTATTGTTATTATGTTCGAATGTAACAAAGCAATAGTAAGGGAAAAAAAAGTAAAGGTTTAAGAGTTATTACGTTGAGATTATCACATTTATACTATTGGTCACAGATTAGTCTAATTTGAATATATGACATCATACATATGTATGTAACTATGGCCAATAAGAAATGCTTATATTACCGGGTCAGTTCGGGTATTATCAGTTCGAGTCCATTTCAGAACCCAAATTTGCGGTTCCAAAAAATTATGGACCCGACCCGAACTGTTAGTTCAGGTTCAGTTTGGGTTTCGGTTCGGGTATGAGGAACACTAGCAGCGAAGGACCTGGGTTTAAATATTAAAAACATAGACATGGAAAAGAACTGGAGTATAGCTTTAGATAGCAACCCAGTAAATGAGATCAAAGCGCTTTTAAAGAAAGAAGATTTAGAAAAGGGTATGCAATCACTGCGAGAGCTTAATCTCTGGTGCCTAGAACAAATAACCACAAAACATGATAGCATCATGTTCACCTGGCAACAAATTAGAAGAATTCGGGAACTCAAAAAAAAGGAAAAGGCCCAAGATAGTTCCAAAAGCTAGAAGAAATAGTAATAGCAAATCATCCCTTCTGAAAGATCCACGAGGCCTACCTTCGAGGAAAAGAGACAAACAAAATCCAAATAAAGCCAAAAAAAAGAAAAATTTCCCACAAGAGATCGAAAAAAGAATGAGTAATAGGTATAGAGAAAAAAGGCAAAGCACCATATATAGGCAAAATACAAAAGAAATCTCTAAACCAAAAAGCACACATAATAGAATAGGAAAAGGAAAACAAGGAGAATACACAGCCACATAACCTTCTAGAATCAAACCTAGTTCCAACCAGCAGAACTGTAAAGATCAAAAGCAACAAAATAGAAGATATAAGTTCTTGGATTAAAAGAAGAAGCAAGGGTGGCTGGGCCTCAGTAATTAGCCTAAAACACCTTAAAGATTTAACAATGACAATTGAAGAGCCTTCAGAAAGAAGAAAAGAAACAGAAATAGTATACACAATAACCATTGAAAAATAGAAAACCTACTTAATTAAAAGTACTATAAAAATCTAAACAAACAAAGTGAACTGATATAGGCACTAGAAGAGAATATGATATATAGTGAAATAATATACTATACAGATGGCTTACTTGAAGGAGGGAGAATGGAAAACCACATAGCAGGGTATGGGTTAATCCAACTAGATAGTAAAGAAGCAATAGTCAGGGAACTCAAAGGCAGAATACAAGGGTGGTTCTTTTCAACAAGGTCTGAACTTATAGCAATCCTGATAGCAATGCTAATATCACCAAACAATAGCAAAGTAGATATCTTCACAGACAGTCAGGTAGCAATACAAGTAATCAAGAAAAGCCAAAAAACTGAAAGTATCAGAAGCTGGTACAAAGCAAAAAATCCTAGTATACTGGATATAATTGTTAAGATACTAAAAACCAAAAATATAATTCTCCAACTCCACAAAGTAAAGGCACATACAGGCAATATTCTAAATGATCTAGCAGACAAGGCAGCAAAAAAAGACTCCCAAGAAAAAGAAATAACACTCCTTATTGCAAATGAGATACAGAAAATTACATTCAAACCAACCTGGAATATACAAATAATCGACACTTCAATTCGAAGCTTTGTCAAAACAATCACACAAACATTTCACAAAGCAGACTGGCTATTTACTTCAAATCAAAAAGATAATATCCATCAAAGAAGAACTGACAACCAGAATTGGAAAATCTTCAGAAACCTGTAGAAAAAGGAAAAAAAAAGAAAAGCAAGATCACTCAAAGCAAATAAGAAATGGAGCTTTAGACTTAAGAGCCTAAGCAGACTTCTGTCTACATTGCAACTATGGAAAAGAAACCGCAAAGACCTGTACCCAACAGCAATCTGCAGAAAATGCAAAAAGAAAGAAGAATACTTCGAACACCTAACATCCTGCGAAGCTGACAAACAATGCTGGATGGAAAAGGAGTATTCGATAGCAAAAGAAGTCTGGTTGAACCTAAATAACTCTGCCAAAAAGAAAATCTCCCAAAACAATATTTACTCAGCGTTCACGAGTGGAAGCATTAGAGACAGACACAAAAAAAAATGCTATCTGGCAAGAGGACTAATTGAGACAGACCTATCAGCCTCCCTCATATCAACAGAAATCTCTAGAAAAGAGTAGAACTAATAATACTTGAATGGTGGGACAAGTGGTACAACTTCTTCCAAGAAGAAATCTGGCTACATCGATGTGAAGAAACCATAAAATGGGAAAAAGAGCTGCAACTTAACTCCAAAAAAAAAAAGGAAAAAAGGCATAGAACACCAGAGAGTACAAAAAGAACAGCCATACCTGATTTAGAAAACCCATATAGTGCAGCCAAGAAGAGACCCCAGAAAAAAAAAAAGGAAAAAACCCAATAAAAGAATTTCAAAAGAAATATGGAGATAGTAACGGAAGAGATAAATAAATGAATACGAACTGGAAGATGGTCTAGGTGAAACAAAAATTAGATTAGATCATGACAGGCTATAGATCCAGGTCGATGAACTGCGATTTTCTTATCTGAGGTAGATAAGGGAAAAGCAGTGAGGCTAATTC